TAGCCTGCCTGGCACCCCACTGTCCCACTCAAAGCAGCATTCCAAATCTGTCACCTCATCAGTGTCACAGACTTACGATCCAGCACTGGAGAAATTAAACCGAGGAATTTTTACTGCACCAAAATGAAGCTTAAAATTATTTCAAATCCCAATTTGAAATGCCACATCCATTCTTGTTTCTCAAGCATCTGATCTATCACTCAGACAGTCAACTAAATTTTGGGGCAATTTATCTGCCGTAAATAATTTGGAAACTTCAAAACTGTCCAGTTCCATCCCCCAAACTGCTGGTGACAAAGGACAGGCCAGCACATCAACTCTTCTGACATGCTCCTGAACAAAAGACTGTCAAGCAGCACCCTCAGTTGTGGTCAACCAGCCTCTCACAGACCTTCCCCCTGACAGCCTGCTCTGCAGCTGGCAGTTCCCTAAGTGCAGCTTCAGTCCACGCACACAGATCATCAAGGCTGAGGAAAATGCCCATTTCCAGAATTCCAGCATTACCTGCCAGCCTGGTTCTTACTGCACTGCCCTGATGAGGTGCTGAAGGAGCCAAATGCCTGGCACGTCCCATTCCACCCAGACTGACTGATCTGGGCCCACAGAGCCCATCAAAGCCAAGCGGGGTTCGCTCCTTCCACCCATAAAACAGGGCTGGGATGGCTGCGGGCAGGCTGTTAGGGATTCACCTGCAACTCCACCCTTGGTGACAAAAGGCTTCTCAAGCCTCCCAAGTGCAAAATGGACAGCTCCTCAACAGCTCCAGAGCAGAAAGCTGCTGGCAGTTGGCGAGGTGTGAAATCAGGGCTGAACTGCACCCCTGGGGAGCTTGTTCAGGGACAGCTAATTTAGCAAAGGGACGGTGTAAGGCCACACCCTGTGATGGGTTCAAACACCAGGCTCAAAGCAGAGAGTGAGGAGGTAGAACAGCCCCACTACCTTCCTGCTACTGCTTGCAGCCATTTGCAGAGTCAAATGTGGCAGCACAGGGTCTGGCAGTCAGAGGAGGAAAACCCACCGAGCCCCTTCTGCTGCTCAGCCTCCCCTCCAGCTGCAGCTCTGCTCAGGGTTTATTCCCCCTTGCTCAACCCCAGCTTCTGCCATCCCTGTGCCAAATCCTGCTCCTGCACCGAGGTCGTCCTGACCTTGGGCCTGCTGCCCTGCTCTTGTGGCAGCACATCCACCACCCCCTCTAGTCCCTGCTCTCAGCCTGCCTTGGCTAAAGCACCGGGTTCCTCAGCACTGCTGGCTCCAGTATGCTCAACAACAGGATGTCTGCTAGGTACTCACTGGGATGCAGAGCCAGGAGCAGCTCAGGTACCTACTCATGGAAAAGAGATGCTAGATAGAGTGCTCACCCAGGCCAAAGCAGGGCAACAGGTTTCCAAAAGCCAAATCAAATCACTTTTAGGTGAGAAGCAGCATGCTACTGGTGCAGAACGGTATGTCAGAGGAGAGGAAAGGGCAAAACCCTGCTTCCAGGTCTCAGGCTCCAGGAGTGAGGAGATGTATGGGTGGAATCAGAACCATACTGGGCCTCCTCATACAAACAGGGCTGCAAAATCTGTATTGCAACCCAACCTGCCACTCTTTGCTCTCACAGCAACATCTCCCACTTCATATGGATCTGCTCCTTCCTCAGACTTTACCCTGACCTACACACTACTTGCACAGGGGAGAAAAAAAATTAGCTGGAAAAGAGCACCAAAAGAGCAGGCAAATCAACAGTGATGGTACACAAGGGAGGATAAGAGGTGACCACAAACCAGTCCACCTTGTATGCAGCTGAAAACAAGCGACTGGCCAATGCAGGAGCAGAGTCTGTGCAGGAGGAAGTGATACACCCACCATCGCTTACTGACCCCAAATCATCCCCAGGGCCGAAATGTAAGTTGTTGCCTGGTGGAAAACCTTTTTCCAGTGCCTCCAGACAGACAGTGGGACGTACCACTCCTCTGGTTTGGGGTACACGGTGTGCCTCAGCGCGTTGTCTGGGTCGTACTCGAAGGCCACGCCCGCCGTGGGGTTCCACTTGGCGTGCTCCTTCCCAAAGCCCTTCTTGGCGTAGGCTCGCAGCCGGAGCTCCTGGCCCTTCCGCAGCTTCACGATGAGGATGTCTGCAAAAGCACACACCCGTCAGCCTGAGAAGGCTGCAGGGGAGAAATCAGTCTGCAGGATCACGCCACGGCAAAGGCAGGGATTTTTGGCGCCCAGGAAGATGTCGCCAGTGTCCAGGGTTTGCTTGGATTCTTAGAGGGGCTGTGTCCCCAGAGCAGGTAAGGAAAAAGGAGCTGCACAGGCCCCCAGGGAACAGTGGAAAGCACACCATTTCACCTTTTTGCTGTCTCTGAGCTCTCACAAGGAGACAGAAGCACCCTCTGACATAGGACAAGCTGTAAGTGCCATTAAGACAAAATGCTACCCCACTGATACAGTGATGTCAGTGGCTCTGAAGTGTCAGATTTACAGCTGCCTTATGGTTACACAGCTAGTAAATGAAAAATGAGTTGAAAGAACCCCCAAAAAAAGTTAATTTACTCCTCCAGCTCTTATTCCCAGTGACCTGCCACTCACCATCCTGCTCCACATAGTCATTGGGGTCGTTGTCTCTGCTCCGAGACGTCACCTGCAGCAGCAGAAGGAAAGCAAGCAAATTAATGACAAAATCAGCTTTTCTCTCCACATCAAATACCAGTTGTCTACAAAAGTTAGACATGGTGGAGAACACCTCTAGAGTGACTTACAGCAACAAACCCAGTCCACCCCATTTAATGGAATTTGGGGCAATTGAGGCAGCTGCAAGCAGGTATGTGATGTCGCCCCAATGGCCTGCTCGTCTCCTGAGCTGCTCTCCCCACAGGATGGAGTGCATTCCAGCCCAGCCCAGCACATCTGCTTTGTTCCAAAGTCACTCCTACAACTGCTGTAGGTGACACAGAGCACTCAGAGCACCTCAACCAAACCAAGTAAGAGACAGTGGGCTCCAGCTGGGCTTTAACCAGGCAGACACTGTCGCCAGGCAGCAGGAGCAGCCCCAGGTTGTGGTGACATCCAGATGTGGCCTCAACAGCGTATAAAATCATTTTCTGTAAGTCTCTTTGCATCTGTCCCACCAATCCTCCAAAAGGTGACTGTGCAGGAGCTGTTTTGCAGCAGTGCTCTGGCCAGGGCTCCTCACACCTTGCTGAGCTGAGAGCCAAGAACCAGCAAAACAGAGGCCTCAGGTTGCTGCCAAGGGGCTGACCTTGTCCAAGCCTCAGTAGCATACGGGCAGGAGAAGGCAGTGGCACGGCAGCAGGACACAGGCACACACACACTTGGGGCGTTCAAGGTGAGATGAAGGGGCAACACTAAAGCCTCTCGAGAGTTTGGGATGAGGGATGCAGGATGAGGCCATACTGCTTTGGATGCCATCAGACAACAAGGACAACACTGCAAAGATGAGGAGGGCACTGGCACTGCTTCTGCAGGTATTCCTGCTTTGCTCTCCCACTGCGGTTCAGGTGGGGCTTTAGGCAATGTGAAACGTGCTCAAAGGGCCTTGCTTTGTCCACATTCCACGTGTTTGCTACCCTGGCCACAGCAGGGATGTAGAGAGGGACAAGCAGAGGGGTGGCACTGACCGGAATGACCCGGGGGTTGTTGGAGATGAGGTCGCGGGACGTGACGTGACGGGTCTGGTCCTCGTTGCAGCGAACGTCCAGGGTGAACTCCACGGAGCACTCGGGGCAGAACTCGTCACATGTACAGTCCTGGGACACACAGGGATTGAGACCTTTATGCAAGAAACTGCCAGCGCTTCCCATGGGATCAGACACCCACCACCACCAAGACAAGCCCCCACGACATCTTGCTTGACTCACTCTGGAATATTGCATCTTATCCACAATGTCATCGCTGGTGAGAGGGATGAGGCCTGTGGGAAGAAGGAAATCAGGGGAATCTCTGAGTAAGGCCACAAGAGCTCCTGACTTTCCTGCCAAGATGGGTGGAGGAACAGCAGCCTCCTGACAAAGGTGTTTCAGCATCTTTGGACTGATTTCACCACAACCCACCCTCATTTGCCCCCCATGCCCAGCACTCACCCAGCCTGTGTGCAATGAACTCATCGTGGAGCACAGAGGAGTTGGCATCTATCTGGACCCAGTCGATGGCTGCAGGGAGGAGAAAGCCACAGAGAAACACTGACACGAGGAAAAGTCAAACGGTTTGTGAGGGCATAGGAAACATTACAGAGACACACTGAGACAGCACACAGCGCACAGGACTGGCTGAACACGACTGAGGAGAGCTGAAAGCAGCCGGGAGGTGCGGGAGAACACGGAGGGGAAGCGATGGGAGCCATCGGGAGAGTAGCCCGGGGGACCGTGACCACGGGGCGTACCTATGGTGGGGACTTCAGCGATGAACACTCTGCGAATGGAATTTGCCACCCTGAGGGAGGGAAACACCCGTGTTTAGGCACGAGGGGGCGCGGAGCGGTGGGCCGGGGCCGCTGCGGGGTTTGGCCTCGGACACACCGCCCGGCCGCACCGCGGGTGCCCCGCGGCCGGGGCGCGATCCCCGCGGGGAGCCCGGGCCTGTGGGGCCGCCCCCGGGAGCTCCCGCAGCCGCTTCACCGCCGGGCCCGCCCGCCCGGCCCGGTGCTCACGCCAGGTCCGTGTTCTCGATGATGAACTTGACGTTCTCGTCCGTCAGCTCGGTGATGCGCACGGTGGGCTGGTTGGCGTACGGCATGGCCGCCCGGTCCCGGCCCCGATCCCCGGCCCGATATCGACCCCGCTCCCGCCCGGTCCGTCCCCGCCCCGCTCCCCCCCGGCCCCGGTGCTCCCGCAAAAAGAGTCCGTGCAAGACAGAGTACGACTTTATTGGTGCCGGGGAAAGGGCCGCTCGCCGCCGCTCCCGCCTCACCGGCGCTGGTTCAGCCCCGCCAGGTTCCTGATCTGCGGGCACAGCGAGAGCGGGTTTAGTGCCGGTGTCCCGGAGCAGCTGCCGTGTGCTGGGAGCTGAGGTGTGGGGGCGAGGGCCAGGGGCCGGGATGGGATGAACGATGTCCCTGGATCCACCTACAGCCACCCCTCTGACCGGTACCTGCTCTCCAAGTTTCAGCTTGGTTTTGTTCCTGCGGCCACACAGACCCTGACAGTGAATTTAAGCTTTTGGGGCCTTCAGCTCTCCCGTCCGTTTTGCAGAGACCTGGAGAGCTCAGGACACCTGTACAGTGACACACTGGGGACACCTACACAGCACCCCTGGACATGGGAGGGTCAGATTTTTTCCCCCCCTAATAGTTATGTGTTGGGATGATTCTGTTCTAAAACACCTGGCTACAACCCACCCCCTTCAGAATCCATCCAGTTCCTCCTGTTTATCTGTGCAGTGGATCTCCTGCAGAGACAGACCAAAGAGCACAAACAGAGCATGGGGATTTTTTTAGTGAAGGGCCTTTTGGATTATGCAGGTGTGAAAAGATAAAAGAGGCTGAGAGACACTAAATTCCACCATAACTGCAGGGGGAAGGAGGTGGGAGAGAATCTTGAGAACTTCTTCATCAGTAAAAATTATTTCTAATTTATGTTCCAGCCTGTTTGTCTTGTCCTGATACAAGGAAAATGTATTTCTGATAGCAAGGAAATCACTTTGTTGCTAAATGCAATGGCAGTTGTCCAAAAATAGAATCACAGCAAGGCCCTGAAGCCCTTGAAAAGTCACTCCTGGGTACACAAAGGGCTGTTTTGTATCCCAGAGGAAGTGCAGCTCCCTCTGCATGGACACAAAGCAGTCCAGGACATTACCAAGAAGTGAATGAATTCTTGGAAGGACACTGAGGTCAACTGAAACAGCTTGAGGAAGTCGCCCTGCTCTGGCTCAGGGACAGGTGCCACCTCCCAAGTGTCCATGGGGGCACAAACCCTCTGTTACAATCTCCAGCACAGGGCCTGGCAGAGGGAGAGATCTTGTGACAAGCAGTGGAGAACAGTTGTATTTATTGTGATCACCTGTCTCTCATCCCTAAAGCTCACCCTGCAGCTTCAGACTTAATTTCTTTCTGCTCTATTGAAAGTTCTTTCACCACAAAACCGTGAACTAACTCCCAAACTACCCTGGAAATCATCCTTAATCTAAGTTATGAAAGACAATTCTTTTTCATGTTGTCCCCTAGATTTGGGAGGAAAAACCACGCTGGCATTCAGCATGGAAGGGGACAGGAGCAATTTTGGTCTCAGAGCCCTGCTGGTTTCAGCACTACTTACAGTAACTGCAGCTCCCATCAGGCCCTGGACAACAGCTTCTCCAGTGGATTGTACCTGGGAGATACAGGGAGAACAAGGCCTTTTGCTTTCTTCTGCAGTTGCACTCATGACCCCCAAACACAGAGATGCAGTGCACAACAAGCATCTATCTGCTACAGAAAGGTGCTGACAGCACTGCAGACAAATGACAGACAGAGGTAAGACACATGGAAGAGGTTTCCTGGGCCGTCTCCCAACCACTGGGCCAGTCTGACACACAGGGCACCTACATGTCCTTCTACTAGAAAACACATAAGCTTTTATTCATGTTGAACCAACAGCAACCACCTGCCAGCACAGGGGGCTCTCTCAGCAGCTGTGGGATCTGCCTGATGGAAAAGCCAGGTCTGCCTGCACATACCCCTGGGGAGCAGGGGGATGGCTGCACGTGTGCCTTGCCCCTCATGTTACCTGGCTGGCTGTATGGCTCATGTTCATGGCGTCGGCCACTCTGTTCTCCAGGAAGCGCCAGGTGTCCTCGAAGTCAGGGGACGAGTCCTGCAGCATCACCAGCTCAGTGGTGTTGTAGATGCCGGTGAGCACAGCCCGACGGGTGTACCAGTTAAACTGCAAGGGCAGGAGAGGGGAGAGACAAAGGTGTGGCCTGAACGCAGATCAAGAGAATGGCAAAGGAAAATCACACACTGACAGCACATTCCTTCCCCCCTCAAAATGTGTCCCTGTCAGAACAGCTTCTCCAGTGGCACCGGACAGGGATCACACGGATAGTGCCTAAAACTGCTCAGCAAACCCCTCCACCTGCTTCTGGCTGCAAGCAGGCACCTGCAGCAGGCAGCAAGTCCTCCTTGCCCAGCCTGTGTGCACTGTGTAACAGTTCACCTTTGCTTTACAAGCTGCCAGGCAATGCAATGCTCCAACTCAGACCTGATTAGAGGAGAAACAGCCACATTCATACATAACTTGAGCTGCAGCTCACACCAGAGACAACCATGAAGAAAGGGAACAAACAGAGGACAGAACTGTGCAGGACATCACACAGAAATACACCTTTTCCAAGTCCTGTCCCTGAAATACCAGTGCTGCCTGCTGAGTCACAAAATGCATCAGCACAGTGCTGGCAGCAGTGCTGTAGGTGCATTACACCAACGGGTTACACAGTGCAAAGGTGCACAAAGTAACTCAAACTCCTCATATTTTCCAGTGGCACTTGAGCCACTGGCAGATGAAATATATAAAATTTTTTAAAAACGGGTCTTCCATTTGCTCCTGTTGCCTAGAAAAAAATTCTGGTTGGTCCATTCATGATAACAAAGCAATAGAAAAATGAAAACACGGGCCTTGATTTTAAAAACAACAGTTGGGTGGAAAGCTCCACTGCTGGCACCACAACCTGCAAGCTTTGACAAGGGGAGAAACATGGGGCACGTTGCCACTTGCAGCTGGATCAGGTGCCTGAGACCAAACTCTTTCTATTGATTCTTCTCCTGCTCAAAAAAAACCCACCTGAGGGGGTCTCTGAGGCACGGGCACACTCTGTCTAGCTCCTGGCACTGGGAAGAAGGATCCACTGCAAGCGACTTTAAATCCCTTTACTGGGAAAGAGGGAGCGGGCTCAGCATCACAGCTTCCCCAGAAAACTCATGTAACCAGTCAGAAGGTGCAAACAAAACACAAACTTTAGAACCTCTCCTAATCCCTGCGTCAGTGAGGAGACTCCAGGAACAGTTCAGTGCAGACACTGGCTCCAACATGTCAGTTTGACTTTCATAACCCAGAAGGGACTTTCAGTTCCTGAAGCAATCATGTTCTTTCAGTTCTCTTCTGGTTCATTCCTTTAATTTTTCTGTCATCTTATTTATTTTTCACTGCAGTAGCTTCTCTTTTATACCCAGATAAAAGAAGCTTATTAAAGTAGTTCGTTAAAATGGCTCATTTAGCTTTTTCCATCTCTTCATACATCTATAAGAATTAAAGTAATTTATTAATTGCTTTAATTAAGGTTATAATTTTCTTTTATTTCCTGCCAGAAAGATGAAAGCTTTAATAAGCTACTGGTATTTTTAGGTAGGTTCTTTAAAGGTTTTCAAGTCAAGTCTGTAAATGCTACTGCTGGTGGAAGAGAGCTGTTTGACAGAGACACTGCTTGCTCAGTGAATACTGGATCAACTTCTTAGTCTCAGAATCTCAACAATCTGTGCCTTCAAAAATGAAAAGCACTTAAGAGCATAGGAAAGTAGGTCCTTTTAATTTGCACTAATCCCATTGGCACTAATTTGCATTTAGTCCCTTTAGAAATTAGACTGTGGTTTATAAGGAACCTTGGGTGCTTCTGAAATGTCTTCCCCATTCAACAAACACAGCCTTTCCAGAGGGATGTGGCCCCAGGCCTACTTGAACCCGTCATTTTTGCTGAAGTGCTGAGGGGTAGAACCAGCCTGTTCTGCAAAGCACAAAGACTTACATCTGTGGACTGGTCCCCAGCATAATGCCAGATATCATCGATCATGCTGGTGAGGAGGCTGAGGCCGGAGGGGATGTTACGTGGGAGCAACAGGACGCTCAGGGCCTGCGAAGGAAACACAGAGAGTCCAAGAGAGAAGGATGAACTATTAAAGCAGACCAACAGTGCTCTGCTCTGTTATCTTTTCCCTGTTGCTGTTGCCTTGCCTCCAGGTCCCAGTGACAAGTCCTCCCAGCTCTTTGCAGCCAGCACCAGGCTTTCCAAGAGGCGGGATGTGCAGGGAACACAGAGTGTGGCAGGTGAGCTCAGGCCTAGGCCCGTGCTGGAGCCCAAAGCTCCCTGCTCAGCTCAAACACCACTGTGTTGTCTCTCCTGAGCTGCCTCTCCAGCATGGAAATGGCACAGGCTGAGCTGACTCACCCTGTGCCCCCGTGGGCAGGGAGTCACCTCTCTCATTTCTCCGAATTTGACTTTGAACTCAGAGCAGCAACCCAGGGCACAACAGCGCCAGCCATAATGGCCCTGCTGGGATCCTGCAGCCTTTGAACGTAATCACACAACGCCAGGAGAGTCACAAACCACCCACATTCCTTCACAAGGCAAGTCATGCTAATCTGGAAGAAGAACATGAAATTTGTGCCCTCTCTCTTTGCACGGAGTGCTGGATTCAGCTGCCCAGAGGCCAGCAGTGGTTCTGGACAGAGGCTGACCTTGCAGCAATCTTTGCAGCCCAAGGTTGGGAACTCTTTTCTTGTTACTGTGGCCACAATTCAATTCCTTTCCCACCCCGGGAAGAATGGTTTGAGAGTTAAATCTGAATTTTGAAGCATGGAGCCCTCTCAGTTCACAGCCCTACCCTCAGGCTGCCCAGGGTTTGTCAGCCACACACCAGAAGGGCAGTTTCTGCAGCAAAGCAGTTCTGCATTTCCAGGTGTCAGGTGATACTGGTGCGGCCAGAACAACCCTGCATGGAGCCTGACTTGCAGTGACACTGCAAGTAGGACTGAGCAGAGACACAGGTTATCCCCTGGGGATGCCAGATGGGTGGAGTGAACAACAGAGCTTTGCCTTTCCAGAACTGCAAGGAACAGTTGTTCTAAGGTC